TGATTTTTATGGTTTAAAACACTTAAAAATTTGTTAAATTATAATACGAAAAATATATTGCTAAGTATATTTTATAAGAATATTGCTATATTTATGTAATTTGTTTTTGATTACAGTGTGAATTATTTATTAGAAACTTTGTATTATTTTTTTAATCATTACACTTAAACTAGATAAGCCATTTAACGTAATACGCTAATTATTTTAAAAATAAAAATATTTTTCACAATTCTACTSAATATAAATAACATTTAAGGTCTACTGATAATTTAATTGTAATATAGTGTGCAGGTAGCCTAATATATGTTTTACTTTAATTTAAATTAAATTGCTTAATTAATTATCTTTTGGTTTTGGTGCATTCTTAAGTAAAAATAATTTGGAATACTTTTGAGTGTAAACAAATTCAATATGTGTCCCCTGAAATTTAGCATGCATTCCCTACTATAAAAAGTTTAGACTTACTTTCAATTTTTAACTAAATAATTAATGTTTATTTAATTTATGTACAATATAGATCAAAAATAAAAATAATAATAATCAAGCTATTAGATTTTAAATCACAAGTAAACCATTGATATAAAGTCCATACTCGTTTTGATATAACACAATAAATTATATTTATAAATAATTTTGTGCTGCCTATATAATTTGTCGTGCGATGATAAAATTACCTGCATGTAGCGTAAACGTTTTGAAATATTGAAGGCGCAACGTTGTGTCTATAGTTAAATTTTGATCACCATCGTGTTGTTCTCGTGCAGTCGTCTCAAGATTTTCTAATCGGAAAATTAATATTATGTGATATTAATTTATCCTCAGTCATAAATAACAAAAAAATCAATGCTCAATATTGTAATATTTGTTGTTAAGGGGTTTGGTATAGGCAATTTTAACGGAATTTAAAAAATACATAGTCCACTGTTTATTATATTATATTGCGCTTCGAATCCAACGATATGTCACTGATTTTTAATTAGTTATAAATTATTATGTTAATAAAGTCAGAATTAGGTTCCTACACGTATTTTAATACAACGCAATAAACTATAATTCCATGTACAAATAAGGCCCTTTGCTGACCAACGGTGTCCGATGTAGAAGCCAATCGTAGAGGCTAAAATAAAATAAAATATAGTATTATAGTATTATGATAAAATAAAATAAATATTATTTTAAGGTACCTATATATACTAATTGCGTCCTGTTATAATACAATATCATACTAAATATCAAAACATATTATTACTTAATATATTATGTTTTAATTTGTTTGTAGTAAATTACTGCAGGCAAATAAGTGCGTTGTGTTTCTGCTAAAAATGTCTGTTTTTTGGTAAATTCGATAAGAATGTGTTGTCAAATATCTACCCCTATAGGTCCGCATGCTATCCGATATTTTTGATTCTCTCCATTTATAATATACGGCGGGATCRCCGCCAATGTGCTTCGTATGATTTTTTTTCTCAGGACCTCATTTATTGTATTATTTTTATCACCCGGCCTCCAACACAGAAATTACTTGCAAATCTACTGGTCCATAACATGTTTATAACTTGTGCGTAAAAAATAAAAAATAAAATTTTAATCGATTCAGTAATTCAGTGCCGATGTCGACGGTCGTGTACCCTGTATTCTATAGATAGATATCTAAATATATTATAATCCAAACTTTAAGATTTGGACAAATGTTGTGGCGAGTTTTTTTTTTTTTTGATCCGCTTACACTGTACGCGGTATTTGCTATTGTTTCACTTGTATATCATAATATAATATATGATGGCCAATGATGATATTATAATCAAAGTAATATTACAAGCGACACGCAACGAAATGACCGGAGTACAACGCATGAGTGAAATTTCATTATAATGACCAGGTATACATAATAATAATATGACTAATAAAGAATAGGAAATTGGTTCCCAAAACGGGCGACATCGCCGTCTCCACTGGCGCCAACGTGGCGCAATAGCCGTCGCGAGTACATTGGATAGTTGTGATGTTTTATTAC